GCAGAAATTCAGCTATGCTACTGGCACGTAATTCATGCAATCAAAAAAAACTTTCAAGTACTAGAATTGTGTATAATTATTATAATTCTAATGAAGCACATCTACTTTGTTTATTTATTAATCCAATATAGCAACCACTTAGACAAAATCAAGCAATAACAGATTGTACAAATCAAGAACAAATATTAAATGAAAAAGATAAAGTTTTTTGTAAAAAAAACTTTTGTGAAAAGGTTTTTGAGCTTATTCGAATATATTTTTTATGGCATTCAATAATACCTATAGAATGTTTATTAAACTTTTTAAGTATGAATCAAATTTGGATCAAAAGTGTTAAAGAACAATATAATTATTGTTATCAAAATGATCTTAAGCATATTTGGATTTATTTATGATTAGAATGGTACCATCCTAATAAATGAAAATTATAGACTTATGCATCAAGCTCAAAGCTTAATATTTTGTGAAGCACAATGACTATAGAAAGTCACTGGCATATTTTAAAACATGATTTTTTTTCAAGTTTCAATTGTGCAAAATTAGATTTAATATTTATATTATTATAACAAAAGTCATTCTTTGTTAAATTAGCCATTTACAACTATTATATAATAATAGATATATGTTAAAATAGCATGAAGAATTTCAAATGGAGTGAAAAAAATTAGCTACCTATACAATTAATACAAATCCAAACTGTGTTACTAACTTATCACACTGGATATGCTCATGTACTGGTTTTCTTTTAAATCAGTTTCATATATGCAAATATTAATTAAAGCATATAGTTCTATAGAACCAGGTTTTTTTTAAAAAGGTAAAAAAAAAATTTTATTGTATATATTTAAGTTTAAATATTAATTTTAAATTAATATTAATTAAGGTAATCTGCCAAGAATCTTATCCATATTCACCAATTTGGTTTAACCCCAAAATTAGCCAATCATAATTGAGAATTATTTGTCATTAAAATTTATTACAAGGTGAGTTTTTACAAAAATGGTCTTTTAAACTTACTTTGAAGCCATAATTAAGTGTGTAGAATATTGCAATATCTATATGCTTAATTATTAGCTAATAGTAGGTTAAAAAGGCTGTTTTCCTGAAAAATTACTTCTGAATTTGCCCTTACCCATTATACAACTGATTGTTCGAATGGCAAACCAATCATTCACTACCCGAATATACCTGAATACTTTCAATAACTAGTGTTAGTGCTTTCTTTTATACTTAGTATAGTTGTTTTTTTAGTATTTATTGCTTGTTTATCTCATATAAAGGCTAAAAATTTGGGTTTATTGAATGTTTTGTTTGTTATCTTCATGTTACTTAATGGCAAAAGGTTATGTAACCATTTATCGAAAAAAGACCCCTAAAAATCAAATCGGTGGATATGCTTTTATTGAAAGTTAAAGAGAAGAATGCCTTTATTGATTTGCCAAAAAATCTTTATTCTGCATTTGAAAACTTAAATTATCATAATTATATCTATGAAGCAACTGCCCATATTGATAATCCACAAGTTAATATTGATAATCAAGAAAATTTTGTTGATATCTATATTGTTTCAAGTAATCAGGAAATGAATAGCAACAACCAAGATACAATCTTGTACCAAACCCGAATGCAAGAAATTTTTAACTTGTTAGATGTAACAAAAAAAATTATTGAAGAAAACGCAATGAATCCAAATGGTAATAAGTGGCTTGACAGTGTTAATAAAAACTTTGGGCCATTGTGTAAATTGGAGGAGGATTATAATCATTTTAAAAGACAACAGAATATTCCAAATACTTGGAAAAACCGTAATCATAATACTTTCTGGCTGTAATTAACATTTTATTCGAAAAATAAATAAAAAATAATTTATTTATTGCATATAGTTATTATTTTATTAGTTTGTTAATTTTGGAATTCATATCGATAAATTTTTTTCGATCGATAATATCACGTGATTTTCGAAATTTTTTTGGGTGGCGATTTTACCCCGGCCTACATTTACAGCTATTTTCATAATACTGGAACACCTGATAAAAATTGGCCGAATGATTTTTCGGCCGATTCGATTAAGTTTGTAATTTCGGCATGATCCGTATAATAAAAACTATTTTTGATTTATAATGACTGTTCTACAGACCGTTGTAATAATAATGTCAACATTATTAAACTTATGTTTAATGTGTCAATTAAGCCTTAACAAGAAATATATTAATTAGACTTTTATAATAAACATATTGCACGAAGTACATAAATAAATATTACTTTTATTTGTATATACAAGTTGCAAGTTGGTTCATAGCCCTTCAATTTGTCATAACGTCTAACAAGAGTTTCATCTCGGATTGTGGTTCTGAAAGTGACGGAAACTTTCAATACATCCATATTTTTGAAAGTGATTAAGAACCCGACTTATAAAAGATATGCTAAACCTAAGTTTTTGGTAATTTCTCGAAATGGTATGCTTCTAAATTTTTTTTAAAAATATTTTCCAGCGATGCTTTGAAAATATCATATTTCTGTAATCTACCAAGATAATATTTCATTACGGAAAGTTTTATTTGAAAAATTTGGTCACCTATTGTGAGTCATTTAATTGCCTTCACATATATGTAATGTTATTATTCTGATATAACGATGATATACTTTTTAAATTTCTGTCCATAAAATACTGTCAATGTTACTGACGATCATTGAAAACTATTAAATTGTACATTCGTACATGGTTTGCGCTAATGGAAAAAATGGGGTTAAACGTATTGTTAAATCGGAGTGCTAATAATTTTTTAATCTTAAAAAATAAATAATAAATTTTGTCCTTAAAACTTAAATTTGGCTCCAAAAATTAGTCAAATTTGACAAATTCGCCGTAATGTATATTAGTACCTGATCTTAATTACGTATATATATATGAATTTTTATTGAATCTATTATGCCGAAATCACAAACTTAATCGAATCGGCTGAAAAATCATTCGGCCAATTTTTATCAGGTGTTCCAGGAATTATGAAAATAGCTGTAAGAGGACGCGTTATTTGAGTCAAAAAAAAAAAACCAATTTTCAAAAAAATGAGAGTTCGAAATACGTTATTACGCGGTATACGGATCATGCCGAAATTACAAACTTAATCGAATCGGCTGAAAATTATTCGGCCAATTTTTATCAGGTGTTCCAGAAATTATGAAAATAGCTGTAATTTATAAAAATTTTTTTACAAACCTACCCGGTTATTACAGATGTTTTCGTAAATTCTGGAACAACTGAAAAAATTGCCGATGGCCGAATCAGGATTTATGAAAACAGCTGCAAAACATATAAAAAAATTTTTATAAAATTTTCAAAATTTGAGCCGGGTTGCGAGAACAATTAATTAACTTTACATGGCCTTAAATTCTGAAAATATTATATTAAACAAATTATATTGAAATATTTTGGAAAACGGATACCGTTAATGTCCGAAGCCAAGAATAAACATCGGGCTGATCCGTGTCGATCTATATAGATGATTGGCTAGCATGTGTGCACGTGACTGGAACCCAACACATAATCATGTCAGAGTATTTTATCTATATTAATATTCTAGAATTAATCTGATTATTTATGATTAGCTTAAAAAAATAGAGTACTAATATTTGGTTATTTCATAATTATATTTATAAATAAATTAACATCTTGATAATAACTGATTGAGTGGAAATAATATAATTATAATTATAATTATATTATTCCCACTTAGGTTAGGTTATTCCTATCATATGATGCGCGAGATTCGTGAAATGCGCGTATTCGAAATACACATGATTCATGAAATACGCATACACGTGATTCATGAAATGCGCGTACAAGATGGATAAATTATAGATATTGAGTGAATTAATATAATTTTGAGAATTAATATGGTCTTGATAATATAAACCTGCTATGCTATTAAGTTATGACTAGGGATGCTAACGGCTTGACCCGACTTGTATATTTATTATTATAAAAACCGATTAATCAATAGAGTCGATTGAGTCGTTAGCATCCTTAATTATGACGATGCTATGGTATACGTGATTTGTGAAATGCGCGTACGAGAGGTATATGCATATGAAAAAAATTTGTATCTCTATGTGGTGTAATTTGAGTCACAATAAAAGTAGATTCCACTATCATTGTTTCGCAACTTTATTTCAAGACATTCACACTATAAGTAGTATCGAAAATTCGCTTTTGCATATGTCTCGTTATGATTTTTTTGAAAATACATAATCCTTAATAGAGTATTCAAGAAGATATTTGTAATTTTTTACATTTGACTTTTTATTCAATTTGGTATTCGATAGATTTAAAATGATCGTATTATTAGTTACAAAATATATTTAAATCAACCTTTTATTTTAATGAATTAACTTAAGATGTCAATCTAAGAATATCCTTTAACAAATGTATTGAAGGAAAATCTTTAGACTTATTTCACAAAATGACAATTACTTATTATCATGGTATTTTATTAACTCAGTAATACAACTTAGAGATCAATTAAGAACTGAACAAATCCAATGCTCAAATCATTACGGCCACAGAATGTAGAATGAATTAGTCACTTATTGCATGGGTCTTATGTGACAACCCTTGCCTTTTTCATTTATTGGTACGGGATCGTTACGTCAGACACCGTGCAATAAGATAGACTATAATGTATTTTTGTATTCTATTATGATCGCATAAGATTCTAACCACTTAAGTTTTTTAAAATTCGAATTTAAGTAGTTTTTGAATCTACAGTTAGGGTTGTTAAATTACGAGTCCGGTCCTAGGATTAAATCCTGAAAACATAATATATTTAGATCCTGAATTGGGTCCTCCGAATAAGTTCATCCAATCAATTTAATTCTGTATTGTTAAACAATTCGATTCAGAACCTACGACATAAATAAAATTTTTTGTCTATGGTTTATTGTTACACAACCAGGTAAATATTTTCTTTGATCGAATACCTAACGATACATAATAAATAATAATGACTTTCGTTATGAAGTTCTTACGCATTCTTCATCCAACATCACTTTTCTCATCACTATCTGACCTTAGGCTTTTGGCATCACGAAAATTAGTCAAGTCTCTTCTTAAAAAAGAGGGATTACCTGATATCGCTACCTCAGCTTCCATGTTTCTGAAGGATGATATAAATGCATTAGGAGTGAAGTTTCTTCTGAGGATCATGTTATTCCTGCCATTCCTGATTCTAAAGTATTTATATATTATTTATTTATTTATTTATATTCTTTAACGAGTACTCGCGTTAACTCAGATTCCGTACAGTTGTCAATTTTCCGGAAGAATACATACTCCCCCAAATTAATCGCAAAATACTCAAACTTGAAAACCTTGATATTGATAAATTTGGAATTGTAAATGGTCAAATCCGGACATTTATTAGAAAAATGAATTGGGTGGTTGTGAATGAAGCGGTTGAAGGCACGCGTGAATCCAACACTGATACATTAGTCGATAATTTGCTTCGTGTCGTTGAGTTTGATGTTGATCCTCTTGCGATTAGGTGTGTCACTTTTAAAAAGTCTTTGTTTCAGCTCATCTCAATAGCTTCTAAAGTTTCATTCTTTCAAAATCTAGAAATCACCCACTATGCAGAATTTTCATTTTTGACAGATCTTATATTTCAGCAGAACCTGAGTTTGTAGTTAGTAAACGAGGCATGGCTTTAGTGATTGAAGGAGATGTATTTTGATTATTTGATGGTTGTGGAAGTATGAATTTAAATACCTTTTTGATAGGATAAACACTTAAAAAATGTTCGAAATTTGACAAATTATGGTGAGACACAACTCGCTGCCAAGATCATAGCCTGTGGTAACGAAAATGTAATGGACAAAGTTACAGATCAGATCATATTTGCAATGCGTGTAATTTCTATGCACGTCACATTTTATAAAGCAACAATCCCCAAAGAATATTGGGCGAATCTTCACAAAGGTCTTCCGAAAAAGCATTCAGTTGAAATAATGAGGTGGCCGGCAGAGAATGGTGAGCGAACTGGTTTAGATCTGGCAAATCCTGAAGGAAGAAAAAGGGTGCTTAGATCGTTGGTTAAAATTCGCCAGTTTGCTTTGGGCCATGACTTTTAATTTCTTTTAATTATCTTTAACATAGATAGCGCTTTGTTATTTGTGCAAAATAAGAATATATATTACTAAAACTTTAAGAATAAACCAAATCTGATTGGTCATTTAAGGATATTATGATTTGTGTTGGTTACGGGCACGATTTCCAAAAGTTATTATTTCCTCTATTCGACATTACGCAGGGTGACGATTTGCTAAAAATATGGGTAATTATTTCTGAACCCGAACCAATTATATATATGACGTAATAACAACATTTGGTTTGGATCCAAATATAATCACCCTGCAACTAATTTAACCCATCTGCTAAAACTTTTTTTATTATAAATAATATAAGAATTCTTTTATCTTATGGTTATTGCATATTTAAGTATAGTAGAAAACTGTTGCGAATTAAGCAATTGTGATATAAACTTCTATATTTATCTAATTACAAATTCTGTAAGCCTAATATAATAGTTCCAAGAGGAACTTCAACAGAATCGTTAGGGTTACTTTGTAATGTTGCTAATAGCAAGCCACGTAATTAGTTTTAAATGATCAATGTAGAGAGTAATTTTCGAAACAAATACCTTTAATTTCATTTGATATTTTTCGAGTATTTATTATTTTGCTAGTGTACATAAATTCTTGTGGTAATTGGCAATGTTTTGATTATTTTATCAGCACTAATAATTGCTTTTTAATTTCATTTGCATCATCTGAATTCTCCATGCTTTCATTCCATTCATTAAGTTTTTCCAAACTTTATAAGAAGTAAGTCGTTTTTGTGGATCTGAATCCATACATTGCTTAGCTAACTCAGTATAGCAATCTGGAGTCCCAGGTGCAAATTCAGGTCACAATCCTCTGCATATATCTAATGAAAGGTTAAGGTCAAATGAACGACCATCAAAAGGTCTTTGCCCAGTTGACATTTCCGACATAATGACTCCGAAGCCATAATATCGGCAGTTTTTGTAAACTTCTGACCCAATAGAATTTCTGGAGCGACATAAGGCAAGACTTCAGAAATACCACTTGCTGAATCATTTTTATTTGTCTTTTTAGACAATCCTAGATCTAATATGTAAGACCGCAGACATTTCCTAATGCCTTCATCTTCTTCATTTTGCAACTGTGAAAGTCGGTATGAATATATCCTGCTCTATTAATTCCTTCTAAATCATCTGAAATATCTTTAAGTAGTTTTAATTTGCCAGGTAAGATCTCGAAATGTCATTTTTTGAAAACTTATGAAGATATCCATTATCAGCATATTGAAATACCATCAAGTATTCATTGTTTTCGTGTTTTGAATCAATCCATATATTTTTAGCTTACTACCGTATCGCATGATTGTCAACCTTTGTAAATTTATAGAAATGAATTAGTTAGCTCAATATGTGTTTAATAAAAACTTATAATTTAAGGTCCAATAAAAAATTAGTCCAGATGAATAGCATACTAAAGTCTGTCGATTTAGAAAATTCTACATAAAAAATAGTTAAAATTATTTAAAATACCTTCTTGATACTTAACTTCATATTTGTATCAGTATTGATTATTATGATTAGCTGATTGATAAAACTATTAGTCAGCTAAAAAGCTAATCGGCAGGCTAAATGACAGGCTGAATCGGCTTAGAACACCATACTGTTGATCTGTCATGAATAATATTTTTGCTACCATATTTTCAGAACCGGTACAAAGATACGAATCATAAAGACGTTGATAGACATTGCAAATATTCTGTAAGTATGAACCAATGTCGATTGTTCGTCATATGATAATATTGTAGCAAATCTAATTTGCATTTCAGAAAAAATAACGATTCAGAAGTGATAAAATTTTCGAATCATGAATCTTTGAAATTCGAAACCATCTTATCGCAAAAAAAATCGGTTGAGTTTTATAATTTATTTATATACTAAGTTTTTAAACATTTTGAACAATGATATCTTAATATGGCTCAATTTTTTTTTGATATTTGGAGACGATTTCGAATTCTACAGGTCCGTAGAATTCGAAGATATACTTAGTCATTAAATTTACCAGGGTAGTTTTCGGTCAGTATTTTCATTTAAAAGTTTTAAAAATAATGGTTATTCAAATTTTATTTTTTTTAGCATGCAAATTTGAACACATAATTTTTTTGGTATAGGTGACAAACAAGAAATATTTTAATGATTTTCTATCTGGTTCTTGCATTATTCATTTATATAAATCACATCGCATTATAAGGTTTAAAAGTATTCAAAATTAAACCAATTATTATAAAACGCACCTATGGTATTTTACGCCTATTACCGATATATATATATTATTTCTTTGTATATAAAAGTTTAACAAATTTTTACATTAGGGTTAGTATTTAGAGTTTCTGAAGGATATTTAGTGGCATAGAACACATTCTTTTACTTAGAATACCCACACCGAATAATTAGCTAATCTTTGTAATCACGCATATATAGGTATAAAACGCGTTTTTAAAAGTCAAAATTCAACATATTGATATCGATGGATTTGCCCAATTCCAGTGCTTAATTTAGAACGGTGCACCCAATAGTAGCAATATGTTTATTATGTTAAAAAGCTGTTGTAAATAACCAGCCTATATAGACAATTTGAGCCAAAACCAGCCGAATTTCTATTAAAACTTTTAAAATGTAGAAATATACAAGAAAGCTTAATATCTAATCTTAAATAAATAAAATAAAATAAAAAATAATTTTTAAATTAAATATCGAGCATATTTTTTGAGTAAATAATAATGATAATAAATTTACCTTTAAAGGAATTAAATTTAACTTAATAATCTAAATACCAATATAAAATTAGTTTATTTAATTATAAATACTGTAAGCTTAATACGGTATAATACTTACCAAAAGGAGCTTCAACAGAATCGATAGGTTTACTTTGTAATGTTGCTATTATAGCATACCACTTAATTAGTTTTAAATGAATAATATTAGAGAATAATTTTTGAAACAAATACCTTTAATTTCATTTGATATTTTTCGAGTATTTATTATTTTGCTAGTGTACATAAAATCTGGATGTTTTGGTGAGACAATTGGCAGTGTTTTGATTATCTTATCAGCATCTAGGAATTGCTTTTTAATTTCATTTGCATCATCTGAATTCTCCATGCTTTCATTCCATTCGTTAAGTTTAAACCAAACATTACGAGCAGTAGGTCGTTTTTGTGGATCTGAATTCATGCATTTCATAGCTAATTCAGTATAGCAATCTGGAGTTCCGGGAGCAAATTCAGGTCGCAATCCTTTGCATATATCTAATGAAAGACTAAGATCAAATATACGACCATCAAAAGGTCTTTGTCCAGTTGACATTTCCGACATAATGACTCCGAGGCCATAAATATCTGCAGCTCTTGTAAACTCCTGACCCAATAGAATCTCTGGAGCAACATAAGGCAAGACTCCATAAATACTACCTTCTGAATCATTTTCATCTGTATTTTTGGACAATCCTAGATCTGAGATGTAAGATTTCATATTTTTACTAATTCCTTCATCTTGCAAAACATTACCACTATGAAGGTCTGCATGAATATATCCTGCACCATGGATTTCATCTAAATCCCATGAAATTTCTTTAAGTAGTTTTAATTTAATTTTCCAGGTAAGATCTCGAAATTTCATTCTTAAAAACTTATGAAGGCTTCCATTATCAGCATATTGAAATACCATCAAGTATTCATTTATCTCTGTGTTTTGAGTCAATCCATATATTTTTAGCTTACTACCGTATAATCTACATTTCGCATGATTTTCGAACTTTGTAAATTAATAGGAATGAATTAGTTCAATATATGTTTAATAAACCGTACAATGATTCAACTTACCTCTTTCAAACAGTTATGAGGATTTTCCTTGGAACCAAATAAGGTCTTTAGTGCAACAGTGCTAGGTGGTTCACGCGATCTTACATATCTATTGTCTGCAATATTTTTTATTTTTCGTATACCATCTAACCAGGTCGCAGAAAATACAGAGCTAAATCCTCCTTCGCCAATTTTTTTAATATTATTAAGTCTATCAAATGGAATCCATTCAATAACATGTTCATATTTATTAGTTCTAAGTTGAAACCCTTTGATGCAATTATCAATGTCCTTATTTCCACTTGTCCATTCTCGAATTGTTATGTCAGGGTCACATGTCTGACACCACGCTTGATACGTGTTATATACATTACAATGTGTACATTTCCCACCATCTGAATATCTTTATAATTGTTAGTTATATTATAGTTATTTTACAATTGTTTTATGTGACTTTAAAATCGAACACAAACAATTTTATGCTCACCGCCTAATTAATACGAATAATGAAAACAAATAATAAATATTTATGAATTTGAATAGCTTTATTTTAAAATATGTTCTTTATACTCACATCCTAAATTAAATAGTAAATATGATTAGCTTAAATAGTTTATTTAAGTTCTTAATTTAATAAACGTTCTTTATACTCACCGACTAACTTAACGCGAATAAAATGAAATTAAATAGGAAATATTCATGAGCTTGAATAGCTAATATTAGATGTCTTGATTAATAATTGCTTTTTAGACTCACCGACTAAATCAACGTGAATTAACAAAATTAAATAGTAGATATTCATGAATAGCTTAAATACTTAGATTAATAAATACCAATGTTCTTTATACTCACCTCCTAAATTAACGCGAATAAAATCAAATTAAGTAGTATTGTTCGTGAATTTGAATAGCTTATTTTAAATACTTCGATTAATAAATGCTCTTTATGCTCACCTCCTAAATTAACACGAATAAAAATAAAAATAATATAGCAAATATTCATGAACTTGAATAGCTTATTTTAAATTCTTAGATTAATAAATGTTCTTTATACTCACAGGCTAAATTAATGCGAATAAAATAAATAGTAATATTCATGAATAGCTTATTTTAAATACCTATATTAATAAATGTTCTGTATACTCACCGACTAATTAACGTGAATAAATAAAATTAAACTGTTAGTATTCATGGACTTAAATAACTTATTTAAATACTTAGATTAACCAATGTTCTTAATACTGACCCACTAAATTAACGCAAATAAAATCAAATTTAATAGTAAATATTCATGAACTTGAATGGCTTATTTTAAATACTTAGATTATAAATTGTTCTTTATACTCACATTCTAAAATAAAATTAAATAGCTTATTTTAAATACTTAGATTATAAATTGTTCTTTATACTCACATTCTAAAATAAAATTAAATAGCTTATTTTAAATACTTGATTAATAAATAAGTGACGCCAAGAGATGCTTCTTGAAAATTAACTTTAAATAATATTCAAAAAGCATAATTTACAGGTTTTCCCTTGGCAGCAGTAAATGCTCTTTATACTTACGGACTAAGTTAAAGTGTTTTGAGCATATGATTTAAATGGAATTATCATGAACTATTGAAAATAAAATGATATTTATAATTCATAAAAATTGATCATTATACTTACTCCCTAAAGAATTAAATAGTTTTTAAGAAATTCTAATTTAAAGTGTAAAATTCAAATGCATTGAAGAAAAATTTGAAAATTTAAAATTACTTGTAAATCCAATTAAAATATTTGTCTTCACTCTTTTCCACACCAATTCCGTAATAGTAGCAAATGGCAGTTTTAAAAATTCCCATAGTATTGCCAGCCTCAGCAGATTTTAAATAATACATAAACGCCTTATGCTTATCTATTTTAACCCCAATTCCTAAATAATAACAATGACCAACTTGATACATTCCGTTAGGGTTATTCATCTCTGCAGATTTTTGATAATAAGTGAATGCCCTATTCTCATCCTTTTCAACCTCAACTCCATATTCGTAGCAATAACCAAGCCAGAACATTCCATCCGGATCATTCATATCGGCAGATTTTTGACAATCGATGAATTTTAATTGATTCGTAGCATTGGCGATTTTAATAATTTCATCTGGTGGGTTATTATCTTTCATAATTGACTTTATATCCAAAACACTATATGCAGTATGAGAAGAATTAATGTGTATGCAGTACATTTGGTCAAACTATCCCAAATCTATATTGAGTCTGTGCGTTCGCACGTGCTTACGCAAATGATTTCGTATTACCGGTGCAAATAAGTAATTCGTATGCGTTAGTTGACGAATATCGATTAAATAGAAAAATTTAATACTATCATATACACAAGAAGAAATTTTATAGATTTGAAACTGAATATTGGGAGTCTGTAAAAAGTTATTTGCATTAGCGTGTACTAATGATTCAAGTCGATAAATTTTTATTTCTAGGCTAAAATAATAAATCTGTTGATTTTCTATGTGTAACATTAAATATCTAACCACTGGTAATGCACCAAAGACCACCGGAAATGCGCCACAAACCACTGGAAATGCACTAAAGACCACTGCTAATGCACCAAATACCACTGCTAATGCACCAGAGACCACCGGAAATGCACCAAAGTTGTTGCTATTTAAATAAAATTAAATAGTAAACATTCATAAACTTTACCGCTTTGATAGCTTATTATAAATATTTAAATTAATGTTCTTTATGCTTATAGACTAAGTTAATGTGAATAAACCGATTTTGAGCATATTATTTATTGCGGTTTGCGAAATTATGTGAAATTTGCAGATCAAAAAAAAAGAAATCGATGATTTCTGATTGCCGATTTCTTTAACATTTTACGCACCTTAGGTGTAGATTGTTAGATGAGGTGCGTAATCTATCGATCGGTCATTACGCACAGAAAAAAAAAATGTATAGAATAAAAAGTATTATTGGAAGTTGGACGTGCTGAGAAGACTTAAACACGAAAAGTATGCAGTGAAAATTTAGGCAAAAAAAAACAAAAAACTGTACGTATAAAAAAAAAAGTACATATTAATTGGAAATAGAATGTGCCACGAAAATTTGGGTAAAGAAATTTAAAGAAAAGAATGGAGGTGCTGAAGAGGCTTAATGTAAAAAAATGCTAGGAAGTAAGACGACGCCAAAATGATTCAAAGATATAGAATGTCACTGAAGTTAAAAAAGACGCCAAAGTGATTTAAAGTAAAGAATGCTACCAGTAAGAAAAACGCCGAAGAGATTCAAGAAAGCAAGAATAAAAAAGCACCCAAGTCAATAGTCTTTTATTCAATTTAAATCAATAGTTTACGCACCTCACTTGACGATCTGATCTGATATATATCCCAATAAAAAAAAATTATACTAAAGTTCCTTATCGTTATGTTTTTACTTTGAAATTTCATGATTCTACTGAATTTGGTGAATTTTCTTCTTGCTTATCATGCAACAAATTTTATCGGGCTAGAAAAGAAATAAAAATTTAATATTACATAATCAAGTTCTTTACAACATGATTAATATGCAAACTATATTTCTACAAAAAATGCTAAATCAAAATATGTTACAAAATTATGAATCTACAGATTTCGTTTTTTTTTTCAACATATATATATTATAAATTTGATATGTAAAAAAAATAATGTCACTAAACTAAATAAAGGCTTTCTGTCCCTAAATATACAATACCTGAACCGCTTAAAAAGGTCCAGAATCAGACGATTTCTTTAAGGATGTTATATTACGAGTCAAATCCTTAAACTAGTAACTGGTAACCAGTATAAGTCCGGAGCATAAAAAAATCATATACACACTATATTCTACCAATCAGCATCACGGAAGCGGACGGACAGAATTCTCACGTGATCTAGATGATCACTTGCTGTTGTAAAAACAAAGTGTCCTTCGCTTCGCTCCAGACAATCACGTGAAAACAATACATTCATCTGTATTGTTAAATAATTAATTCGAATAAATGTATTGTGTTTTCACGTGACTTAAGGACCGAATCCTTACCGATCCTTGAAAGGATATGCCAGGCAAGGACCAACAGGAGGTAAAAATATTTACGTCGTAATTTATACATTTTAAAGTACTTTTTCACGAGGCTTGTGTAGCCTATTTTTCCTATGAAATGCGAAAAGTCTACTAAGCAAACTTGAAGTTTTCGCGCCGTATTTTAATAATATCGGTTGAATCCACCTAAATTTATATTCAATTTACCTAGCGAAAGGTATATGTAAAAATAAGAAAATATAGAATACAAACCTACTAGAACGATAAAATTCAGTTTGCTAAGTGAACTGGAAAGAGAAAAGGCTAAAAGTAACGATTGGTAAAGGTAAACTGGGTAAAAATATTGATTTACACAATGTTTATTATGTACTTCGCATAGAATTGTTTAAAAAAGTTTAAGTAACAAACTAACCAACTATATTTATAATTTTTTATTCAAGATACGATAAAGCTTATTATATAGTGGTTATATATGTCATATATTGTACTGAATTAAATGGACTAAGGTTATGTTATAAAGGATCATACGAGATGGAATGCTTGAATTTTATATTTGATAAAGTCAAGAATAGAAGCGATTATTGTATTAAGTTCTAATAAGTCATAATAGTTATATAGAAATTATTTATTATAGTTGGATTAACGAGTAAATAAATTAATAAATATATACTTGCCCGCTCTAGACAAGTCTAAACTACTTATTTTAAACTCCAAAATATAAAATTTAAATTAATTTATTCCATTTGTCGTTTAACCACCCCAGGAAATCATGGTACTCACTCGGGTCCAGATCATGTATTCTTTAATTTGCCACTCGGGTCCAGATCATGTATTCTCTAATTTGCACCGTGCTCACCCCTTTTTTTATTTTTAGATCATGTTTCTGGGAAAATTCCCTAATTTGCAACGCGTTTATCCCTTTTTTTTTTTTCTGATGGGAAAAATTCACTAATCTGCACGCGTTCACCCCTTTTTTTCATTGTAACGTGAGTATTTTTTTTTGCAAAATCGTGACAATAAAAAAGATATATAAATAAGGGTTACATTTTTTTCTATCTACTTCTTATGCATTTTTAATTTCAAACCAAAAAGCGCATTCCTAAATGAAGATTTTATAGGAACGTTGCTCTTATTTTTAAGCCCTTGAAGAGAAAGAAATGAAAGCTTTGTCGCCAATTCACCTAAACTTAAAATACTCTAATCGTGAGTTAGATGAACTTATTTAACGAATATAATGAGTTTAGAAGACCACCTATTAATTGCCTTTTTTTTTTTTCCTGTAAATTATTTAATATTATTTCTTTTTAGCGTACAGAAATAACATACATTTTATTAAGCGTTGCTGGAAATATTAACCAAGAACATAATGAGATTTTTTTAGTTTTATTTATTTTTATTTATTTATTTTTAACTTATATATAATGTTGTAATAATTAATTGATTAATTGATTAATCTTAAGCTTAAAGTGAAATTATTGGAAAATAAAGCAATAATCGAAGGTACAAAATCGAATTATATTATTATTTGCATTTATTTATTTATTTACTAATCTTCTAAATAATTTAGAACAACGAACTGAAATTAATGAACTGAAATTGTCTATAACAGAACGAGATGCAGAAATTAATCGTTTAAGAACTGTAATTATTTCAGTCCAGCAAAATGTGAATGGAGTCTAAATTAATTGGTAATTACGCTATTTTAACTATATTATTATTTGCATTTATTTATTTATTTATTTATTTACTAATCTTCTAAATAATTTAGAACAACGAACTGAAATTAATGAACTGAAATTGTTGTTAACAGAACGAGATGCGGAGATTAATCGCCTAAGAACAATAATTAGCCTAGTTCAAGAGAATGTAAGCTAAAGTCTCGAATACATCAGAAAGATACGATAATCGAAGGTACAAAATCGAACTATATTATTATTTGCATTTATTTATTTATTTACTAATCTTCTAAATAATTTAGAACAACGAACCGAAATTAATGAACTGAAATCGTCTATAACAGAACGAGAGGCGGAAATTAATCATTTAAGAACTGTAATTATTTTAGTCCAGCAAAATGTGAATGAAGTCTAAATTAATTGGTAATTCCGCTGTTTTAACTATATTATTATTTGCATTTATTTATTTATTTATTTACCGTACACAGGTCGAAAGATAAAAAATCAAGCACAAATCAGGTACCCAATTTTAAACTGATTACTACCTGATTACCACCTGATTTATACATATTTTTGTACCAAATTTTTGGTACAAAAATATGCATAAATCAGGCAGTAATCAGTTTAAAATCGGGTACCTGATTTGTGCCTGATTTTTTATCTTTCGACCTGTGGTACTAATCTTCTAAATAATTTAGATCAAAAAATCAAAATAAATAATCCGAAATCTTCATTAAGAGATCGAGATTCGGAGATTACTCGCCTAAGAACAATAATTAGCTTAGTTCAAGAAAATGTGAATGGAGTCTGAATTAATTGGTCATTACGCTGTTTTGAGAATTTTTCAAAAATAAAACTAGCTATAAACTTCGAAAATTGTAGAGAAGTAGCAATAAAGATAATTTCCTTGAAAGAAATGCAGGACAATGAGTTAACATCTGTAATAATTAATAGCGTTTATCTAAATCGAAAATAGCGAAAAATAAAGTGACTATTTTTTTGATCGGTTAGAAATTTGTTTACGTTTGATATGCAAAAAATGTAAAAGTAATGCTTGAACGACTTATATCAATGGTAAATTTTGAAGAAAAAAAGATGATTTAATATTTCTCTGATTTATTCATCGAAAAAATGGCGTCTACTCCAATGGACGCAATAACAAATCTGATTGGTCTGTTTGATCAAATTAGCCAATCAGATTTTTTATTGAATTCATTCATTGAGGTAGGTGCTTGAGAATCCTTATTCAATTTCCGACTAATTAAAAATTACCTCAAATCCATTGAGTGAAGTGCTTGAGAATATCCAAAGACCACTCAAAATATACGCCCTACAGTATCATTACAGCATTAAGAAAAAAAAAAAAGTACTCTTAGGTTGCTTTCAAGCATCTCCCTCACGTGATTAGCTAATGGTCGAGATTGTGCACAAGTACTATGATGAAATCATCTTTACGGCAATTTTGCTAAAGATTCATATTGCGAAATGTGGATATTCATTTAGTCAATCAGCACAAACTCTGGTAAAAAAGATGGTCTCGACCATTTTTTTCATCGCGGTGACTTGACCGGCTAAATTGATCTCCGACTTATTATTAATTATTAATTAAGCGCTTGAGAACATACTTGTTATTTTCCAGCATCTGCTGACTAAGCCGATTATGCTGGTTCAGCCATGCTACCTTTTGCCGGTATATTAAAAATACCATAACTCGGCGTAACCTGTCATACATTCGGTTCTGCCCATGAAGAGTTTATTTTTTTCTTAACATTAAAGCCCCACATGCCGTTACACCGAAGGATGAATTCGAACAATGATGATAAACTACTATTTTTCATGAATGGATTTATAGATTCGCCTAATTGAAATTTTTCTTATCAATATAATCTACAATGTTTCTTAGAAATTTCAGAAAATATCGTATGATAAAGTATGTAATTTAATTTAAATAACTTTTATTTTGTTAACTGGTTTACCATTTTAAGTATTTCATTGCGCATTAGTGCCTTTTATTCGGCAAGAACTCTCAAAGCTTTTCAACCACATCATCAATTTTTATGGCGTGGATATACAAGTTAGATAATTTCTATAATATCGATATATATATATATATTTAATTTACATATTTTTTAAATTTTTTTTGCAATAACATTGAATACATATAGCCATCGGGAGTGGTGCATGTGAAGACCATGAGCCTTCATTCTTAAAATCCGTTGATATGTATTTTGATAAGGTAATAATGATACGTAGTACTGTAAATGTCAAAAAAAAATGTCAAAATTAATTCCTTTATTGATTGATCTGATCTTATATCTAGGCTGCTAATATTAGTGGCGTATCATCAAAAACCTTATCACATATGAAAGCACCAGATTGTATGCTTAAAGTTACATTTCCAATCGAGGTATTTAAATTATTATATATATATACATATATATATATATATATATATATTTCTCTTTTAATATTTAATATATAATTAATATAATTTATTAATTTTTCAATGTTTATAATCCAACAAGATTGATAATGAAGTTGAAATTATTACAGGTTATAGGGTTCACCATTCCCGTCATATGCTTCCTGTCAAAGGTGGAATTCGGTGAGGATTATATTTTTGAATGAATTGTCTACTACAGTGAATAAATAATAAAATATTTATACTTTCTTTTAAATACAAAGGTTTGCACCAGATGTTGATGAACAGGAAGTTAATGCATTAGCTGCATTGATGACTTATAAATGTGCTGTTGTCGATGTTCCGGTAATTCTAAATAATAATTATTCGACTAAATTAATATAAATTGATAAAAATAATTATATTATTGGATTTAAAGTTTGGAGGTGCTAAAGGTGGCATCTCAGTTGATCCAAGCAAATATACTGAAGCAGAATTAGAAAGAATTACACGTCGATATACCGTCGAATTATGTCAAAAGGTATTATGATTACTACAACTTTTTTTTATCCGTGCTGTATATGTTTTTAGTAATTTGTCACTTGGCGTGATATCGGCTAAATGAGCTGTCGGTGAAGTAAAGCGGATATTTATAAATTATATTATTATTAAATAATCTTTTATAACAAGGCGTTCATCGGTCCGGGTACAGACGTACCAGCACCAGATGTGGGTACAGGTGCCCGAGAAATGTCTTGGATAATGGATACTTATCGACAATTTCATCCAAATGAGGTAGACTCTATTGGTTGCGTTACTGGAAAACCGATATCACTTGGTGGTGTTCGTGGAAGGAATGAAGCTACCGGATTAGGTGTATACTATGGAATTCGTGAATTTATTTCATATCCGGAAGTACAAAAACATACGGGGTTAAGTGGAAAGATTGAAGATTTAAGAATTATCATACAGGGGTTCGGAAAAGTCGGATATTGGGCGGCTAAGTTTTTTGAAGAGAATGGGTAAGTATTCTAAATTTGAGGTGTAGTTATTTAAAAGATTTTTCTATTTGAATCAAGTTAATTTTAATGTCAATTTAGAGCCAAGATTATTGGTATTGGTGAGAGAGAGTGTGGTGTTTATAATCCAAATGGGTTAAATATTGATGAATTATTTAACTATCGACTCTCTCATGGATCTTTTCTTGGAGTACCCAATGCGGATATTATTGAAGATCCATTAAAAGTATTTACGAAAAATACACAGTATTATCATCATCATAAATTATCATTTTAAACGATTTCTAATATTATACTTTAGGTTTTGAATTTAGAATGTGACGTTCTAATCCCGGCTGCACTAGAACGCCAAATAGGTCTTCGTAATGCCGATAAGATAAAAGCTAAAATTGTTGGTGAGGCTGCCAACGGCCCTACAACTCCACTTGCAGATGAAATTCTATTAAAGAAAGGAATTTTGGTTATACCTGATTTACTTTTGAATGCTGGGGGCGTTACTGTAAGTCTCCCTAGAAAGAAATTTTTTTTTAAAAAAAATAACTTAGTTTATTAATGTTAAGCCCTTTCACTCTTTAAGGTTTCATACTTTGAATGGTTAAAAAATCTTTCACATATGAGATTCGGTCGAATGACAAAAAAATGGGACGAATTTGGTAAAGCTCAAATAGTAGAATTAGTGGAACGAAATGTAGGACGCAATTTATCGGATACCGAGAAAAAACAGATTGTTCAGGGAGCGGAAGAAACAGATTTAGTCTATTCAGGATTGGAAGATACTATGATTAGTGCTTGTTCGGAAACTAGAAAAACCGCTATTTCTAAGGTTTGTAGTTTTTGTTTATAAAAAAGATCATTTTTATGTGGTCAAATTGGTTTGGTAAGAGAGATAGCAAGATAGTAAATATATAAAAAGTTGAAAAAACTTGATTAATTACTAAAAAGTCTCTCTCTTTTTTTTTTTTTATTATAGGAAATCGATTATAGGACTGCAGCATTTGTAAATGCTATCGAAAAAGTTGCTGCAGTTTATGAAGGGTCTGGTATAATGTTTATGAACTAGTGATGATGCAAAATTGTTTCATCATAATATATATTTTTAAATTTTTGGGACAATTTGTATATATATTTTATTATTATTTGATTCTTTTAAGGATGTATACAAATTTTTTTTTAACAGGATACGTATACAAATAATAAATTAAATGCCACTATCACTTCTATCGATAACTATAATTGGTAGCTACATACCAGGTTCCCAAAATATCTACGTATATAAGTCAGTGTCATCATAATACGTAGAAGAATTGAATAAAGATTTAAATTTGAAAATTTTATATTGATATATAAAGGTTTCAATTTGTGTATTTTTAGCAATAATAAGCAATCACACTTGGGTAAAGTTTATATCAGAACTGAGCACAACGAAGAGTTTAATGGCAAGTGAAGTGTATCTAATTCGTAATAAGTCATCCTTGTGACTTTCTTGAACTTCTATATTTGTAATGTATGAGGCTTTTTTGTACACCGATGTACGCATGATTTAACGTTTGCGTGATCAAAAGATCGATTTAAATATAAAAACTATTTATTACTATATTATCATGGGTTTTAAATTTATGTGCATTTTTAAAATTTATTCATACCAGCGCGAACTTTCCATTTTTGTTAAACTATCTGATTTCAAAATGAGTCTTGTCATTTATAACGCCTTTCTATTAATTATACCAGGAATGAAGTGAACGAAATGTTGGTTACATGGAGTGAGAGCAAATCTGTACATCTAAGTGATGGCGATAGTTCGTGAGATATAACTAAAAAAAAAATCATTTATGAATTTTTTATTGGTTGTTTAGATCATAGAACATTCGAATATAACAATAAGCATGCTAATCTTTGTTATTTAAATAATTGTATGTCGCTTTCACTATCCAGTGTATTAGAGTGTATTAGAGCGTGCGATTAATTGAAGTGCTGCAAATTCATAATGAGAACAATATATATATAAAAAGAGAATGATAAAATTCAGGAAAATGACGTTAATGCCAAGAAAATGGGTTGTCAGAAAACTACAGAGTTAATTGAATTGGTAAATATGGTTATGAGAACCGGGTTTAAATTATTAGAACATAATATTGAACCAATCAGACCGTTATAATATCAGTTATAATATAGTCCCATTTTAAAATGTCAATAAAAAATCCGACGAATGAATTATGTGTTAGAATTTTACATAAAAGAAATGCAACGTAAACCTATACTTTTTTTAAAAAAAAAAAATCAAATTGCTTTAAAAACAGATAGTTTTTTATTTTGCAAAATGATTTAAAAATTTAACGCCTAACACCAGCCATATTTCTCATTCAATACCCAATCCACATCACCATCATCCATATACCATGCTAAGGATGGCAACTTCTTGGTCATTTCAACAACTTCGACTTCGACTTCTCTTGAAAGATCGAATAATCTTAAATCAGGGTTCCATAAATTAACTTGTTTAAATTTAAATCTACTAGCTTCTTGCTTAGCTTTTTCAATTAACAATTGCGTTGTTTGTTGAGAGTCACTGCGAAATCTAAGAATTTCTAATTTATTGTACTGAAAGTCGGGGCACCAAATAACAAATCCTTTAATATCTTGTTTTTTCAAAATCTTGACTCCTAAAATGTTTGGATACTCATTTGATTTTGAAAGATACTTGCTTCTTTCAAAAAACCAATTGTAAGTAGGATTAATAGGTAACACCACCAAACTTTTTTTATTCAATTTCGAGAATTCTTTTTTGATATATTCGCAATCTTGTTGTATTACACTTTCCAAATTAGATTGATCAATCGTAACTATCTCAGCAGGATTTTCTGAAAGAGTAGTGAAATTATTATCAACCTTAAACCTAACTTCCTTGAGAGGATAAGCTTTCCATCCAAATCTGCCATAAAATTCTGTACCAATGTCAGAATACAAAAATGAAAATTCAGCTTTGAAATAAAATCTTAATTTATCGGAAAGCAATTTCATCATTGTCGAGCCATAACCTTGGTGTCGATACTGTGGAGGTGTGTATACTGATGCTATGCTATAACCGGTTGCTTCTTGAACTTGTCCAGATGATAATGTGATTAGAGCTTTACGTTTAAAAGTTTCGCATGCTGAAAGGATCGCTGATTCGTTGATTTTAGATGTATCATTTGCATCTTTGGTTGAAACTAGAATCCAAACTTTGAAACTTTCAGAATTATATACACTGTTTGAGAGTATAAATTCACGCTTTAAGTACTGGTCTATAGTTAATTGTGGATAACCCCATTCTACGTATGTGTTGCGATTAGTACTAAATAGTTTGATAATTTTTAGTTGATAAATAATTAATAATTAGTGAATAAATGATTTTATTATAATGATGATAATTACATGCTAGCTTGTTCAGGAGTTGCTTCTACAAGTACTAAATCCATATTCTCAACCGTAGGATACATTGAAGAAATTGAATGATGTACATAACAAGGTTCGAGAAAGTAAATATATGAATGTATTACACAAATTAATCTTAACCAATTTGAGGTAACAAAAATAAATACACGAAATACGTACGTACGTATGTTAATTGTTTATGTTATTTCTCCGGAGAAAAGCCCAAATTTATCTTTTCGATCTATCTCAATGCCAAAAAAGTAGTCTTGAAATTTATTTTTTTAAAGCAAAAATTCATAGTTGAATCTTTAATCCATAGGTCATTCATTTTTTTTTCGCTTATTGCTTAGTGAAACTTTAACTCATTAAGTCTCACTGGAATGTTAGTGCCGTCAAAGGAAAACCTGTCATCAGATTTTAATTATATTTTCCGTACAGTTAGCCGTTTATGGGGATCGTCTAAAGCCAGGTAGTAATTTATATATTTCACGTGATTTTTAATTTACAAATTTGTTAGTAATCAATTTAAAAAACTACCTAGCCTCCGTTTGTGGAAAATTTATCACCATGATAGATTTTCTATAGGCGACTAACTGTACAGTACATAAAATATAATTAAAAGTCCAATGACAGGTTTTCCTTTGACGGCGCAATATTATAAAAATTAAAATTTTAATTATAACGATGAAATGTTTATTGCGCAAAAAATGAAAAAACATGATCATTCGAAATCATTCAGTGAATTTTTTATTACCTAACTTTACATACTATAACATAAAAATATTTATGAATTTTGAATTTATTATCAATAAAAAGTATTTTTGATTTGTTTGTACCAGGTTTTTATGTCGTCTAACATCTTTTGAATTGGTTTGAAATTTGATTCTTTTATTATATCGGAGTAATATAGTATCAATATAAGATACTTCTATTTATACGTAATTAATTCAATAAAAATAATAGATAAGCTATACGTAATTAATTCAATAAAAATAATAGATAAGCTATACTTAAATATTTTTTTTTTTACACTGCTCAATAATTTTCAATCAGTCTCATCTTTTGATTTATTGTTTTCTGCAATATTATCATTGTCAAGAACTTGAATTAATTGTTATAGAAAGTTGTGCAATATCGATATCAAGTGATATGCAAATTTATATCATTTTTTCAGCTTCTTCCATTAATAGATGATATGGATTTCATTGTATACCTAAATTGAAATTTATTAATATAGTATGTGATTACCGATGTTATTTTCTAATTTGCCAATTTGATCTGAAAGATTTATAATTACATTAAGATCCATTCATGCTCCTTCTTCATAATTTTTACATACATATTATTATGTCTTTGAGGTCTTCAGATTCATGAATATTTACATATTATTTGACAGAATAAATAATAGTTTGAAATAATTGGCTTTCATTAATTAAATTAAATTTTTATAAAATATTTGATAAGAAAGAAATACTTGTTATTCCCAGATATTTACATTATGCCAACCCTCAAGGTGTGGTTTTTTCAAGCTTTTGTTAATGTTTTCATAGTCAGTAAAGTTTAAAATATTAATACAGTAAAATAAAATACGTAGATGTATTAATCTTAATATATTATATATTATACTGTACTATATACTGTACTAGAAAATGCTTACAATTTTTGCATAACAAGCTTGGCCCACTCTGAATTATAGTGTTTATTTCTGTTATAAGGTTTATTATTATTTTTGTAAGTGGTTTCTAATACATTCTTAAGTTCTTTAGTTGTTTTAACCTAAAAAAAGATATTATTATTATTTTATATAATTAATATAAAACCTTTATACTTTCAACTTACATTTGAAAATCTTATTAGAGATTTTGCAAACCATTCATTAACTCTTGGTAGTTTGTTTCTCTCACTTTCTGTAAACAATTTTTTAGTGTCCAAGTCTTCAAGATTGATTATCTAGAAATATAAAAAAACTTCTTCA